CTATGATTGTTGTAAGAGATCACTATGCTTGTTGGAAGAGACCACTATGACTGTCGTAAGAGACCACTATGTTTGTTGGAAGAGACCATTATGCTTGTTGTAAGAGACCACTATGTTTGTTGGAAGAGACCACTATGTTTGTTGGAAGAGACCACTATGTTTGTTGGAAGAGACCATTATGCTTGTTGTAAGAGACCACTATGCTTGTTGTAAGAGACCACTATGATTGTTGTAAGAGATCAATATGCTTGTTGGAAGAGACCACTATGCTTGTTGTAAGAGACCAATAGGTTTGTTGGAAGAGACCACTATGTTTGTCGTAAGAGACAAATATGTTTGTAGGAAGAGACCACTATGATTGTTGTAAGAGATCACTATGCTTGTTGGAAGAGACCACTATGACTGTCGTAAGAGACCACTATGTTTGTTGGAAGAGACCATTATGCTTGTTGTAAGAGACCACTATGTTTGTTGGAAGAGACCACTATGTTTGTCGTAAGAGAGAAATATGTTTGTAGGAAGAGACCACTATGATTGTTGTAAGAGATCACTATGCTTGTTGGAAGAGACCACTATGACTGTCGTAAGAGACCACTATGTTTGTTGGAAGAGACCACTATGCTTGTTGTAAGAGACCACTATGTTTGTTGGAAGAGACGACTATGCTTGTCGTAACAGATCACTATGATTGTCGTAAGAGACCACTATGTTTTTTGGAAGAGACCACTATGCTTGTTGGAAGAGACCACTATGCTTGTTGGAAGAGGCCACTATGTTTGTTGTAAGAGACCACTATGCTTGTTGTAAGATGCCCCTATGTTTGTCGTAAGAGACCACTATGTTTGTCGTAAGAGACCACTATGCTTGTTGTAAGATATCAATATGCTTGTTGTAAGAGACCACTATGCCTGTTGTAAGAGACCCCTATGTTTGTCGTAAGAGACCACTATGTTTGTTGGGAGAGACCACTATGCCTGTTGTAAGATATCAATATGCTTGTTGGAAGAGACCACTATGCTTGTTGTAAGAGACCCTATGCATGTTGGAAGAGACCACTATGCTTGTCGTAACAGATCACTATGATTGTCGTAAGAGACCACTATGTTTTTTGGAAGAGACCACTATTCTTGTTGGAAGAGACCACTATGCTTGTTGGAAGAGGCCACTATGTTTGTTGTAAGAGACCACTATGCTTGTTGTAAGATGCCCCTATGTTTGTCGTAAGAGACCACTATGTTTGTCGTAAGAGACCACTATGCTTGTTGTAAGATATCAATATGCTTGTTGTAAGAGACCACTATGCCTGTTGTAAGAGACCCCTATGTTTGTCGTAAGAGACCACTATGTTTGTTGGAAGAGACCACTATGCCTGTTGTAAGATATCAATATGCTTGTTGGAAGAGACCACTATGCTTGTTGTAAGAGACCCTATGCATGTTGGAAGAGACCACTATGCTTGTTGTAAGAGACCTATGCTTGTTGTAAGAGACCACTATGCTTGTTGTAAGATGCCCCTATGTTTGTCGTAAGAGACCACTATGTTTGTTGGAAGAGACCACTATGCTTGTTGTAAGATATCAATATGCTTGTTGTAAGAGACCACTATGCTTGTTGTAAGAGACCCCTATGTTTGTCGTAAGAGACCACTATGTTTGTTGGAAGAGACCACTATGCCTGTTGTAAGATATCAATATGCTTGTTGGAAGAGACCACTATGCTTGTTGTAAGATATCAATATGCATGTTGGAAGAGACCACTTTGCTTGTCGTAAGAGATCAATATGCTTGTTGTAAGAGACCACAATGCTTGTTGTAAGAGACCACTATGTTTGTTGGAAGAGACCACTATGCTTGTTGTAAGATATCAATATGCTTGTTGGAAGAGACCACTATGCTTGTTGTAAGATATCAATATGCTTGTTGGAAGAGACCATTATGCTTGTTGTAAGATATCAATATGCTTGTTGGAAGAGACCACTATGCTTGTTGTAAGATATCAATATGCATGTTGGAAGAGACCACTATGATTGTTGTAAGAGACCACTATGTTTGTTGGAAGAGACCACTATGTTTGTTGGAAGAGACCACTATGCTTGTTGGAAGAGACCACTATGTTTGTTGGAAGAGACCACTATGCTTGTTGGAAGAGACCACTATGTTTGTTGGAAGAGACCACTATGCTTGTTGGAATAGACCACTATGTTTTTTGTAAGAGACCCTATGCTTGTTGTAAGAGACCCTATGCTTGTTGGAAGAGACCACTTTTCCATGAGCCCCTCACGTCCTTGTGCACATGAAGCCATTTCTTTTAAGAAACTACCTAATATTGATTAGTAAAGGATAACTTTAGCTGGTCTTGCTCTCGTTGAGTGTTTCACATACAGTCCATAGAGTATTATCGTGTAGCATGATTAATGTGCAAAAGAAAGGTTAAGTGTATTGACATACGCACTGATATTTTCCTCCTAATCGATCTGATACATGGGCAAATGCATGTTGAACAGGTAAGAAGAATGAGGGTGCATATGCATGAGTGGATTCTTCGACATACAGGTCCAAATCAATACCAGGTAATCTTGGTGCTTACTGGAACATGTACCTATGACCTTCTCGCAGGACATGATACCCCTTGAAACAATGACGAATGCAGAGAGTAAAACATAGAGGGGAATGTCAAAACACAATATCATTGTGACCCGGTTTGTGATGATAATAATAATAATAATAATAATGATAATAATGATGATGATGATGATGATGATGATGATGATGCTGCTGCTGCTGCTGCTACTACTACTACTACTACTACTACTACTACTACTACTACTACTACTACTAATCTTGGTTTTGACACAGAGGTCCATCCATGGTACGACCCGGAATATGTAGAGGGCGTCATGGAAAATGATAAATACAAAATCCTTTGGAATAGGCCCGTATACAGTCTCAGACGTATCCAGTCCAACAAACCTGATCTTGTCCTTTTTCATAAAACCAATAAAATCATTTATATCATTGAATTTTCTGTCCCCTTTGACACTAATGTGATTGACAAGATTGAGGAAAAACATGGCAAATATGCGGACCTCGCTTTCGAAATGTCACGATTGCATCCCAAGTACCAAGTTGTCCGACTCCCCATTATTCTCGATGCCTTAGATTTGGTACCTCCCAATCTGTTGACTGACATTGGGAAAGTACCCGGGTTTGCTACCAGGAATACAGCCCTTCTGACAATCTGGGTAATGCAGAAGGCTGCATTGTTGGGGGAGTCTCCACATTTTCCGAAAAGTTCTGGGTGGATTTGACTAGACAAGGCTTCCTGGGAGCAGTCCCATTCGCTGTCTGGGCTGCGTGTAGAGGAGGCAAGGGCCCTGAGCTGATGATGAGCATAACCAGTCTGACAGTGCCAGGATCACCCAAACCCTCTTTGCTGCATTTTTTATTATAATATGTAAATAATAACTACCATGGTGATTGTCTTGTGGTTTTGACACAGATGTCCATCCATGGTACATATCAAATCGGCCCAGACTCAGTTTTTCAAGGAGAGGCTATCTGAACGACCACTGCATCGAGTTTATATGCAGTGTGTTGAGACGGTCAGCAACCCTGCAGAAACGTTCGCTTGGATGAGGTCGGCTGGCCTGAAAAGTGAAACAGAAGGTTTCCTTTTTGCTGCTCAGGACCAGTCACTTCCCACTCGAAACCGTCAATGTGTGATTTCGTATCAATATGTAAATTTGAAATGTAGATTATATAATGAATTTAATGAGACTGTCCAACACATTGTCAGTGAATGCCCAGCTATGGCACAAACACAGTATCTTAAGCGACATGATGTAATGGCTTGATCATATTATTACCGTTTTCGCAATGCTAGTGGTTCTGACGCAGAGGTCATGGAAAATGATAGATACCAAGGGTTATGCAGGTCTTAGACGCGTACCACGACGAGCACGGGAATGGTGCTGACAAACCTAGAAACATTATCAGGGCAGGCACCTCTAGGAGTCGAACACAGGCGTCAGTTTCTGGCATTGAATACATGACCGGGGGTGGGGTTGGCGGGTGGGGGGTTGGGGCCAAAATGATACTGGTCATAAACGTTTGTTGCTTTAATAACACCTATGGGCATGGAGTGATGCTGACAGATAAAGGATGTTAATAATCAGTGGTAATCCAGGATGCGGAACTAGCATCAGTAGGTGATCGACGAACTTAAGGCCACTGGTCATCTGCCATATTCTAACATCGCAACTCACACCACCCACCACAGTAGTTCCACATTGTAATGAAAGTTGCTGCTGATGTGTGAAGTCTACGCTGAAGTACATAGTTCGAAATGCTGTGTAGAGGTGTCCGCAACCGTGGTCTAGTGGATAGAGCGTATGCCGGGAGAGCGGAAGGTCGGGGGCTCGATGCACTAGTCTTCACAAAGACGTTTAAAGATGGTACTTGTTGTTACCCTGACGCGCTCGGCGTTAAGGGGGTAGAACAAGGACTAGCCGGTTCGTAGTCATTATACTGTGTCTGAGTGGGGTATTTTTTTAAAATGCAATGTACCTCTTTGGGTTAACTCTATAAAACCGCTATAAAGTCCAGACTAGCACGTACACACACACACACACACACACACACACACACACACACACACACACACACACACACACACACACACACACACACACACACACACACTAACACACACACTAACACTAACACACTAACACTAACACACACTAACACACTAACACACAGATATATCATTGGTAAAATCATAAAGGAAAACTATGTTGGAATTTAAAATGTGAAAACGTTCTTTAACTGGAGCTACAATGCCGACAAAGGATCTGACCCCCACATATACAAATAGACGTATAAAGTATTGACATAAACGTGTAAAACGTATCTCACATTTAGGTTTAAATGGCATCCAAATTCACCTCGAGCATAAAATGCGTAAAAGTTGTTAATTCAACAAGCATCACTGCCACTTACCTCATTCCTGCAGAGTGAAGTGACGAAGGTAGCTCACATCCTGCTGTTGATGAATTGGTCCTCAACACACGTAAATAACATGAAAACAGCCGCGTACAAACACAATCTACCACTACGCTGTTTATCTTTGCGGGTTAAAACTGAAAAACCTCGCCCTAAAACTCGCTCTCACGTGACGTCATAGCGGGGAAACATGTCCACGACGGAGTTATGTGAATAGTAGAAAGAGAGAGATAATAGTATTTGGATGAAATGGACGCCAATGAACTAGCAGCTGTCGCTCACGCCTCTCCAACTATACTTCATCATCTAATTCGCGTCAAAATATTCCCTAGCAACCAAACGCTCTCCGTGGCATCTTTGCAAGAGAGGTTGTGATTGGTCCAAGCTGCTAATGAGTATAGATCATTGATGGCGCATATCTGCCAGCGGTGGTATAACCAAGAGAATACAGCGGGGTCTATATTCACCTGCTGGACTGGCCAGCGGGAGATTATTCAAGGACGTATTATGACAGCAAACGTTCTATCGATTTATCAGGGTGTATTGTGATTTGACATACGGCTGGTGAATGGGGAATCCATTAAGCGGAGACAGTCTTTCGGCAACAGTTAGAATCATTTGACTCAAAGCAATTAGAATGCGCGGGTAGATTACTCGAGCGTTTATATACACTCACATACACAAATACACCCATACACACGTACAGACACAGGCAGGTAGGCAGACACACACATACACATAGCCACACGCACACGCACGCATACACACACACATTCCTATTTCATATATTATTTAAACACTAGAAACGCGCGGGTATATTGCTAGAGCTAGAGCGAGCACACTCACTCACTCACTCACACACATATCTACACGCACACGCACGCACACAAACACACGCCTATTTCAATCTTAAAGAAAAAACCCAACTAAAGACGCGCGAGTAAATTGCTGGAGCCGTTTATACACACTAACACAAAGACACACTAGCGAGCACACTCACGCACACACTCACAACACAAGCCTGTTTCATACATAAAGCAAACAAACACTAAAAACGAGAGGGTAGATTACTAGAGCCGTTCCTGCACACTCACAGACACACAGACACACAAACACATAGACACAAACAAAACAGACGCAGACGCATGCCCACACACATAGCCATACACACGCAAACACACGCTTCCACACACACACACGCGCGAAGACACACACACTCACACACACACATAGCCATACACAGCAAACACACGCTTCCACACACACACACACACACACACACACACACACACACACACACACACACACACACACACACACACACACACACACACACACACACACACACACACTCACACACACACATGCACACACACACACACGTTAACAAACACATACTTGTACTTATTCAAACATACACTGAACAAGTTGTAAAACGTACCGCGTATTGTGAAATCTGAATCAATGTTAATGGCTGCTCTGCGTCCTTTATGTCTATTTACTCCAGCCTGACTGTCGACAGCACTTTGCTGTGTCGATGTATTGAGTTTTGTGCATTATTCATTTAATTAGGTCAGTACATTCAAATACTACCAGCATCCAAAAGATGAAAGGAGGGAAAAAGAATTCACAGCTGATCAAACTAGTTACACACTTTCATCAATAGTCAGGTCAAGGCACTGGGGAGGAATAAGAAGGTACCCGACAACTTTGGGCACAGGCGGTAAGGGGTCAATAGCAGCGGAGGGTTTCATGCGTTAAGCGTGTCAAGATCCAATGGACCTTTCGTGAGAGGGAGGGTTTGGTTTACTATTTTTTTCAGTTATTTCACGCTGGGTGACACGATGTGTGCGGAAAACGAAACGAAAGAGGTAGTTTGTGAAACCAACGAGTAAGGATCATAATTGGCATAAATCTGTGATCCTGGCACGGCTAAGGGAAGCAACCATGCACAGCGACCGCTGGACAATCCATGCCTCCTCTGCATATTGAGCTGCCCCTTCACAGTCATGCATGTGGATGGTCTTATAACTTTTAACGTTGGCACGGGTGGCCCAGTCGTCTGAGGCGCGCCAATTCGCTGTGCAGAGCTGCGTCCATTGGGCACGCCAGAGACTTATGATTGTGGGTTCGAATCCTGGTTCACTCCGATTATGTTTCTTGGTTTGTCATCATCATACCGGGCTCGTGGCAAACACCAAATTGGATTACGTCTGATACCTGCATCATTTAGGGCTTTCCTCCTACATCAACTGAAACGCCGTGATATAACTGGAATACTTTTCCAAGCGGCGTTAAACCCACCCCGCTAACTTTTAATGCCCGATTGGAAGAGTGAGTGAGCGGCACTTGAACATTTCAGTAATCATCAGGGCATTGACGTTTCCTACGAACATGCGCAGACAAACCAAAGGTCATAATCATGGAGAACCCGAGACTGAACTAGGCGGAATTGTTAAATAGTTGCGAATATTGTCCATAGACGTTCGTGTATTCCCCGTGGCGGTCGGGTAGCCTAGTGGTTAAAGCGTTCGCTCGTCACGCCGAAGACCCGGGTTCGATTCCCGACATGGGTACAATTTGTGAAGCCCATTTCTGGTGTCCCCCGCCGTGATATTAGTGGAATTATGCTAAAAGCGGCGTAAAACCATACTCAGTCAGTCAGTGGTGTATTCTCCGCCGAAACGCCCGAAAACTGGCAATTCTTGTTTGTGTCTTTGGCGAATATCGTGATATAGGGCACAGTAAGATAAAAATGACAAAGAAATATGCTCATATATCTGAAAAGCGATATACAAATAAGGTATTCAAGTACAAATACAAATCAAGTCATTCAGGATGTTACAGACACATATCTTCGGGAAATCCCATAGACTGTAAGTTAAAACGTGTCGACCAGTCCAGACAAGCAGTTCTACTCTATGAGTTTTGAGGGGCGGTCGGGTAGCCTAGTGGTTAAAGCGTTCGCTCGTCACGCCGAAGACCCGGGTTCGATTCCCGACATGGGTACAATGTGTGAAGCCCATTTCTGGTGTCCCCCGCCGTGATATTGCTGGAATATTGCTAAAAGCGGCGTAAAACCATATTCACTCACTCACTCACTCACTATGAGTTTTGAAACTATATCTCTGTTAGAACGGCTACGTTCATGGGTATATTTATGTTGTAAGGATGTAAGCCAGAGGTCAATCAGTCAACTGCAGATACATGGTAAGTTTTTGTAATAATAAAAGTATGGCATATTTTGTACAGGTGTACTGGGGATCCTGGGTTAGACAGGGCCCAGCAACCTATGCTGGTCGTAAGAGGTGACCAAATGGATCGAGTGGTCAGGCTTGGTGACTTGGTTGTACCTTCTTCGTACCCGACAGCGTAAATCGTTGCTCACAATATCAATCATTTGATTGCCCGCCCCAGACTAGATTATTTACAGACCGTCGTCGAATAGCTGGAGTGCGGCGTTAAACAACAAACAAATGACGTGAGTTTCCATTATTTAACACCGTGATAGGAGTGGAGCTACCGTGGACTCTAAAATGGTGCCCATTAAGCCGATCGGGACGACTATCGACCGTGATATTATCTCTGTGCTAATTCGCAGGTAAAACAGTTCCTATCTTTAATGGCTCCTACTTACAGGCCTATCTCCACTGGTTCTGGTATGTCCGTATTGTCGATCTACATGCTAATAAAAATATCTTCTTTTATCAGCCACGAACTCTCTATTATGAAAGATGGTTATTCAACCATTTAGGAGATAAACGTTACGTGGTTTCTGATTTACGATGTTATTCGATCACTTTAGAACCGACGGCGCTACATTAATACAATGGGAACATCCTTGTTATCTCCCCGGGAAATGGCTGCATTGCTAAAAGATTAAACCTTTCTCACTCACTCACAAACGTAGAGAGGCGGTGGGGTAGCCTAGTGGTTTCTATTTCTGGTCATCTCCCCGAGGCAAGGGAGTTAACTGACTATAAAAGTCCAGTTTCCACCCTTGCCGGACAAAGCTGGTATTATGGAGTATTTTGGCTGGGCTAACGAGTCTATGCATAGTCCAATCAAAATCGCGTACTGAAATCAACTTCCGGTTCGTAAACTGTCGTGTAGGTTTCGGGCGATTGATGTATTTACAAAGCATGTGTACCGTCAACGTAGCGTTAACAGAGATTTTCCATTTTGTTTGAAGCAAATGCAAGTGATATGAGAGGTGGGCTCTGATTGGTCAATAGGAGGGACATAGATGGGACATAACTCGTAATAGTCACTGGTGGTGCTACGATCGAACCCAGAAATTCCAGCCTAGTTCGGCAAGGGTGGAAACTGGACTTATGCAGTCAGTTAGCTCCCTTGCCCCGGGAAGATGATTTCTGGTGTTCTGCGCTGTGATATTGCCGGAATAGTACAAAAAGCATAGTACTCACTCACTCACTTATAAACGCAGTATTGTATTTGTCTTCCCACAGCGACCGTTACGAAATGTTGAAAGTATGTCAGTATTAGTATTGGAATCGCAATAACATTTGACATAAAATTATATTTTCGCCGATCATTTTTGTAATGAGATCACAAGAAAACTGACCTGATTTTTCATACTCTGATCACAGAAAAATCTAGCGAGGCCACATTCCCGATCAACCGTTTAAATTTGGGTGTATGTGGAACGCGTCTCAGTTAGAGGTAAAGATAAACCGCATCATCATATGTGATCAAGCACGAGATAGGGGACCTTATGGTTGAAAAATCACATTTTGACTTTTCATTATATTTTAAATCGACAACATTTTCAGCACGATTTATCACAGATATCGATCTTCACTGAAGTAAGTTGACGTCAAACATTTTTTATGACGTCATAGCACAATTGTATCATTGCACCAATGGGGTCCTTTGACTCCTGGTGGGTCCCATATGTTGTTTGTGTCACCTTGTGAGGTCACTGTGCCGGCCTCCAGGTAAATCCTTTGTTGACCATGCATTGTGGCCATCACTATAAAGGTGCACAAATGAGATTGACTAGTCAGCCATCAAGGCAGCGGAATATCTGCAATATGTTATTACTTGAACCAATTAGATGATAAAGCAAGCTATATTCTCCATCAACGTTAGGTATGTTTTAAAAAGAGAAATCTATTGTGCAATAAATTTTTACATGAGCTATATAAATATAAACAGTCACCTGTTTGGTCGTTTGAAATGTAAATGCGATGTTTTGGACATTTGAATTTTCGTTCCTCCAACATCAGGCTGACAAAAAGGCCATGAGTCGCTGTGGGCTTTC